TTTGGAGTGGATAAAGTTTTCAGTGAGCTTGTGTCAGACTTATGTGACCTGGAGGTAAAGGGCATATCATTTGAGGATAAGATATATAAAGGTACTGTGGCATGCATAATGGCATGCATAACTGGGCTCCCACATGATTGGTGGCTTTACCGAAAATTTCAGCTGTGCTGACTATTTCTGCAGATTCTGTCTACTCACCAGGAATGTATTTCAGTTCAGCCCTTTCAGAGAGATCCTGCTGGTTATAATGAGTCTGTGCAGTTTTTGGAGAATCACCCTGAAGTGACAATGCACCTGGGCATTAAAGACAACAGTGTTTTCAACAAACTGTCGAATTTCCATGTGTGTCAGCCTGGACTGCCACCATGTCTAGCACATGACCTGTTTGAGGGAGTTGTTGATTATGATTTAGCAATGTATCTGCAGTTTTTAATTAAAAGACAAAAGTGGTTCAGTTACAAGTTACTAAATGACAGACTCAAATCATTTTCTGGTGAAAGCAATAACAAGCTAAATGCTGTTCCCTGTAATGGAACAAAGCTTGGAGGCCATGCAGCCCAAAACAGGTGGCTGTTGAAATTCTTGCCTATTTTAGTGCATGACAGAATTGTGGATGCTGACAATGCTGTGTGGCAGCTGGTACTTCTTCTCAGGGAGTTGGTTGAATTTGTCTGCGCACCTAGTCTTTCAGAGTCTCAGATTGCTTACATGAAGGTACTGATCGAAGAGTATGTGGAAATGAGGCAAGAGTTATTCCCACATGTAAATCTTAGACCAAAACATCACTATCTGCTTCACTATGCTGACTTGAGTTTGCAGTTTGGTCCACTCATACATACATGGACTATGCGCTTTGAGAGTAAGCATACTTATTTTAAAAGATGTATTAGGTCAAGCAAAAACTTCAGAAATGTGACTAAGTCACTTGCTGATAGACATCAGTTGTTTCAGGCATATCAGGCTCATGGCAGAATATTTGGGCCCCAGGTACAAGTTTCAGACTCCACTCGCTTTTATCCGGAGCTCTATGATGATGGCATAAGGGCAGCAGTTGCAGACTTTGGACTTACCTCATGTAACTCAGTCGTCACAGATAAGGTACACGTTAGAGGGACATCATATGCAAACGGCATGCTTGTGTTGCTGAGATATACCAAAGGGCAACTAGGGTTAGGGCAAATAGCGAGCATTTTCATCAAAAGTGAAACAACTGCCCTGCTTTTGGTGTGGGAAAAAACTGCCAACTGGGTGCCTGAGCTTGGAGTCTATGAAATTTCTAAAAATTGTTCAGATAAGCTCATTTGCAAAAATCTTGATGAGCTTATTGATTATGTTCCACTTTCCTTTTACCACAGAGGTGCAAGATTACTCATCCCACTTAAGCATATGCCACTATGGAGCATGTGAAAGAATTAGTTAAGAAAGCTCTGCCATTGCTCAGCAGTGATGTGATTGACTCGCTCATGGATAGGCTCGAGATCATTCGAGTAAGTTGTGTAGATGACCTTAACTTTGTGAGGACTGAGGACGTTGATGGAATTCTGCCACCCATTCAATGTAGAAGACTAATTCAAGCTTTCACTGCTGGTAAGTTTTTCGTTTTTGAACCCTAATCCTTCTGCACTATATGGTCTGTATATCCTGTTTAACCATGGTCATTAACCTGCCCTAAATTCAACACATCAAAAGTAACATGTAGTTTCAATATCAATATTTTGCTTTCAATAACACTATTTTTTTTATTAATTTATTTTTATTTTTTTAATTAGTCTTTGGATATGTAAATTATTCACAGATTGGTTTGGACATATGTAAACGATGGACTGGATTGTTATGACTTAAGTCCTACATCTTACTTTAACAGCGGATGTCATTCATTTTTGGTAATGTATGTTATCCAGAGTCTCAAGCCATACCTACTCCCACTGTGACACCTCTGCCACTGAATGTTCATCTCTCCCCAACATTACCTCCAACACCTGAGCCCACTGAAAATTCATCATCCTATGCAACATATGCTGTACCATGGAACAAAATGTCCCCAAACCTCATGCTTGCCTTGAGTGAAAAGAAACGACCAAAG